TACCAAAATAGAACCAAGAGAAATATAAGTCTTGGTGACATGGGGAAAAGTTAGCAAATCATTAAATTCTGATGAAAAAACAAACATTTTATTTCTATGGAATAACACACACTGATGAATTGCTAACAACGAGACCTTTAACATATATTTCTGACACTGAACAGCCTTAAATGTGCATGTAAGGGGGTTTGAAACAAACCGCAAATCTGGCTGGATATATGTTGAGACCCTCCTTAATCAGTGGACCAAATATTACAACAATCCAGCTTTAGCGGCTGCAAAAAGACACTCATCCAGAAAAGAAAACCAATGGATTTGGTGCTTGAAAAATGAGGAGGGTGTCAGACTCACCAACAACGTAGAGCTCTGCTGAAGTGTGTGCAATGTTACAGCTGTTTCCTGCGATGCAGGTGTAGCTTCCTGTGTCCTCCGTGCTGACGTCATGAACCACCAGAGAGCCGTTGGGCATCTTCTGGAATCTGAATTACAAATAAACCAGAAGATTCGGCATTGCACGGCTTAAGAGTTCTTCTTTCAAATCTTCCAATGAACCCACTTCAGTCAGGACTCGAGAAAGCCACAATTGTGATGCATGTGATTATTTGGTTTTACCTGCTCTTGTCTGCCTCCAGAAATTTGTCTTTTTTCTTCCACTGTATAAAGGGAGGAGGGTCTCCAGTGGCCTGACAGTGAAGCACTGCGGTGTGTCCCTGATATACTGTCATATTCTCCGGCTTGAGCTTAAACGCCACATAAACTAAAGAATGGGAGTAGAAAGAAAATAAACACGGAGACAGAAATGTCAAGGTCCAACACTAATTCAACTCTGTCTCTTGTCTTGTCCATATGGGTCAAGCAAAGCCATTTCTCCCCAGTACCTGCGACGGTGAGCTGGACGACGGCTCTGATCTCTCCCTGCTGGCTGTTGGAGGCGAGGCAGGTGTAGTTCCCGGCATCCGCCCGCGTCACGGTACTGAAGTGCAGTGTGCCGCGCTTCTGCTCCACCCACGCAGGGATATCACTGCCGTCTGCACACACATTCACCAAATCAAAACCCAGGACTGCCATGAACTTCATCCAGCAGCAGATGTTCTCATTTT